TTGACGGTTGCGCCTGTCGCACTCGCGCGAGTGGCGAAGCAGAGAGATGCGGCGCGGGGCGGCGCCGGGCGGCCTACGTGCTGCCAGCGCCAGCGCAGCCACAGCTTGCCCACAGAAGCCACGCGCGGCGCCCCCAGGCCGGGTTGACAGCACCGCCCCAGAACGTGCGACGCCCCTCCCCCCCCCCACCCCCCCCCCCCCCACCCACATGTGTGCGCCCGCGCTCCGCCTCTGACTGGCGAGACGACCGCCCGAGCGCCGCCGCCGCGCCGCGCTATGGGACGCGCCCCTCCCCGCGCCCCGCCTCTCCGCCGCGCGAATGGGCGGGCCGCAAAATTGGGGCAAGCAGTGGGCACAAGAGACACGGGAAGGCCGGCGATGGCATTATGGTCATGTACACCTCCTTGCGGCGTTATCGAAACTGATATTTTCAAGTCGTGTAAGCAATTTTGAGGCCTCTAAGACCCGACACGAAGGTACAGGTTTCGTGCCGAAATAATTAAAACCATTCATATTTATAAGCAGGAGGGCTTAAACATTATGGACCAACTGTATCGGCCACTTTATAGAAATTGAAGTATGGGAAACGCAATTCAATTCAATGAATCCTCTATTTTGTCCGTCTGCGAACAACGGCATTCAGCCCCGCTCACCGACCAAGCAATATTTCCGCTACCGCTCCATCATACGATCAAAGATGTGCCAAACTCCAGGCGACAAAACAGAACATTATAATCACAGAGGCTTCTTATTATGACACTGAGGGATATTTTTACGTAGTGAATCATACAACACCGTGAGACACAGCACTTTTAACTTCATCCTATCAAAAAAGTGTTACGAACATATATTTTTATGCTTTTAAAAATCCGGATCTACTTGGATATAACACCACAAACGACAATTGTAAATTATAACCAACAAAACGTATTTCTCCGAAGAAACTTTTTTCTGATTTTTTCCCCCAAATCAGACGCTGCTTGTTCGTGGCGCGAAATAAAAGTCTACGTCCAGGTACGAAACGGAAGCTATCGACGCAATGGAGCAAATGCGGTGACTTGTGCGCCGCGCTCAGCCCGTATTTACGGCTGTCTTGCAACTCAGCAACCGGCGCTTCCAAACAACTAATTTTTTCAATTACTTTCAATCTAGCAAAATTGTGACCTATCACCAAGTCTTCACCGGTCACTACCCTATTCATAATTAAAGTGATATATGTCATCTTCACCCCCCTCGAAACAATTCTTCTTCCGACCCACACAGGCATGTATAATAAATAGAAAGTTCCTCGCGAAACGCTTTGATTACAAGTTCGTGAGTACTTTGATTTGTGTAACGCTTGGTTGTTTTTTGTATGCCAAAGCTTTTCATTTGATTTTAATCCATTCCTATTTGAACGAATGCGCACATAAACTAAATCCTCCGTATTCGAAGAATACGAAGTCGAAAATTCTGATCGCTAAGTAGCCCCGAAAATCATTTTCGGATTATTTACTGTGTTGTTCTAAAAATGATAAACACTTTAGATCTTTATTGATTATCATCACTAAAACATTATTTAACCACGTATGTGTGATGTCAAGAATGAAATATAAAAAATTGGATTAGGAAGACATGACAAGCGTCCAGAGTCATGATATTTCCTGTTACTGAAAAAATAAAACGAAAGTAAATGTTTAGTCTTCCCATCATTTGAAAGGTGCAATAGCTAGACGGACTCAGCAAGTTTGGAAGATAAACACCAAATACCCGAGCTGTATTCGCCTGCGTAACTGCAATGCACATTGAAGAACAACCTTTAGTTAACAGCTAGAGCGTACGAGTTTTTAGGAAAATGCCTACTTATTCTAACGAACAATATTACAAAGATTAATACCGTTGAAATATGGAGATATCGGACGTGATACACCATTCTGATGAATTTGTATTTTTTCTTACGACGTAAGTGCCTTTTTAGGCATTGATTCGTATTCTTTTATAGAATGCTTTTTTCTTAATTGTTTTTTTTCTATTTCATTCATCATAGTCTCGTGTTAGAAAAATATCCATATTTAAATCATTTTCAGTTCGCCTGTAATTGCCGACATACTTTTTCTGGAGTGTTCACATGCTCTGCCATGCAAATTTATTGCTAGAAAAGATTTTTTCCAAGCGACTGTTGATACCTTTTGCAACTTCAAACCATGCGCGTATTCAGTAGTTTATTTGACAAACATGCTTATATTGTCTTAAGAAGTTATTTTTGAATTTCGGTGTTTCCTCCCCGGACACCTGTAATTAATGTTCATTGTAATTAATTACTCTTACAGTGAAGTCAAAATCGAATCTCCAATTTACTTTGCTACAAATTGCAAAAGCAGAACTATCGAAGATAAATGCACTCAGCGCCACCAGCTACTGGCAGGCTTCCGGCCGACTTCGAGTATTCTGCTATTATACCATGCGACGATCCCTTGAGATTGAGCCTACACCTTAATTCATACCACTGGGGCAACGACAAAAGGAATCTTCGCGCATCTTTACCGCTAAAATGTTCCTAGTGTAAGAAACTCGAAGTCAATATCATCCTCAGGAGTAGCCTCCATCGAAGAACGAATTTAAGCCCGATCAAACGAACGGAACCCACGCTGACAGATCTACCAGACGATCTCGCTTCTTACTCAAAAAACCACCGAAACCGAACGTTCTTTGCTCCCTCATGGAATCATGCGAATCTCGGCGTGAGATATATTGTGGTCACCGTCTTATCCAACTGCGCTATGGCCATGGGACTAACAATAGTGAGTCTATTGGCCAACACGGATAGCAACCCAAATCACACCCGTGTATTGCCCACACATTCATGTACAACCAACGAAAGCAACTGCATAGTCGTCAATTACTTTAAAGGAACATTAGTAATCGTATTTGCAAAGGACTTGTTGGCTTGTTTATCGCCTATCTTCTCCCTGCCGCAAACAGCCCTCCAATTCTGTGGCATGTGGACAGATCTAGTAGTCGACGAAAGTGGTGCCATCAAGTACTGCCGGAAATGCAAGGGCGATCGACAGCCATAGCTGTTCTTTCTTGTCCTAAGGATGTTGCAGAGGGCATAAGCATTGATGAAATCGAGAGATTGGGACTATTACAGTATTCTTTTAATATACTGCTGCCTAGACATGCTCGCCCTGGAATTGACTGGAGGCTCAACCTCCCCTTGATATGATCTACATAGGGTAATTCTAGATTGGGCATCTCAATGGCCTACGCGCAAAACGAAAGTTCTTCAAAACCAATTATTTCCCCAAATAGTCTTTTTTTAAAAGATTATAGTTTGATTTATTTAAGAAAAACAGGATTGTTAAGATAATATATAAAACGACCTGTCTATGATAGATACTATTGCTGATTGAATTTTGATTGGATGCTATGGTAGACTTTCCGAAGACGGTGTCAATAAGTTCTTGCTAAGGCGTAATGCCATGTTATACTTCCTGGCAGCATGGCTATGTTCCTACCTTCACTGGAAACATTGATACACGGGCACCGACGCAATTCATTAGCTTACGGTTATCCCATCCAAAATATTCTTTTAACCAGGTTACCGAAACCACTGGTGAAAGCTGCTGAACCGACTTTTCGACATGCCGTAGTAGTGCATGTGAGTGTAAGAAAGGGAAGAGGATATGCAAGGGTTAGAAAGCAGGTGGGAAGATCGCTGCGGTCGCTTGTAGCCCGTTCTTTTTTAGGTTACTGCCCCGGGCTTCACCGTAATATTGATCGGAGGAGATTCTTCTGAAACTATGCCATCAGAGCAGTTGCGTGGCATACGAGATGTCTCCTCCCAGTCAGCTGGTTCAATATGCGTTCCTAACTCTGCAGAGCCTCAAACTTCCGTCCACAGCCGATGGCTTTTCTCTACCGGAAGAGGTGGCCTTTCAGGGCTTCAATTGAGACACCTGCAGTGCCAATGACTCGGAAGTCCCAGGTTTTGAGTCCCAAAGGTGGCAGATTTTTGATGGCTTTTACGTTGATAGCTAGATTCGAATTCAGAACGGTTGTCCGTGGACGAGAATTCTAGCGGCCGGCGGTCTGCCTCTGATTGTGTAGGTTTCCGTGTGTTTCTCTGGTCTAATACCAGACGAATGCCGGGTCCCAGTTCCCTAACGAACGGCCACCAGACGCGCGTGTTCTTTCCTTCCTCTTCTGATGTCCACCCTCAACTCTCTAGTTTTATACCACACTTAAACACTTTCCATGTCACAACACCACCACACATGCCGGGAGACTGGTCGAGAGCTTTAGAGGCTTGTACGGCTTGGCGGTGTCTGGACAGTAGGAAGTAATACCTGGTTGGCAGGAAAACTCCGTCAAGACCGACGGCTTGTCGGCGCCCCGGATCTCAATCCACCTGTACGTTGTCGAAGATTCTATCTGTCCAGTCCTCTCGCGAGGAAAAGAACATGCCCCACTGCACTTACAGCCCACTAGTGACACTCTTGCCAAGTTGACGACGCTCGGAACACTTAACACTCGAAGGCACGATTGTATTCGTAAACCCTCCGACCTCCAACGCGTATACGAGCGGGCAAAATGCACGTGATGCCCTGAGGCACCTCTTCGCTATGGAGAACTCGACTGTGTACCGAATCGACTCAATGTGTGAGCAGTCGCAACGTCCATAATTTCCTGATACCGTGATCTATCTAGACCGCTAGTTACGGATCCTCTGATCTCGAGGGATCTTACACCCTTCTGTCGCTTCATACG